TTGGGAAAGAGAAAAAAATCTGTAATAAATTCATTATTCTAGCACAAGTACTATTATCTCTAGCCAAGTTCTTGGTCAATTCTTCCAGACTTTTTTTTTTTTTTAATATATATCTTTATTTTATTTTTATGTGGTGCTGAGGATGGGACCAGCGCCTCATGCATGCCAGGCGAGCATGCTACTACTTGAGCCATATCCCCAGTCCCAGACTTTTTTTTTTTTTTTTTTTATCATTACATCATAAACATTTCATGTTACTACAGTCATTGTAACAATCATTTGCAGAATGTCCTGAGGACATATACCCAGAAATAAGGTTGTTTGGGTCAAAAAGTATGAACGTTTTCATGATCTTGCTGTACACTGCCAATCTACTTTTTGGAAATTTGTGTGAACACCTCTTCTGAACCTCAGTTCTAGGGAAAGAGAAACTTCAGGTCGAGGGGGTGAATACCTAACAAGTTTGCTGCTTCCATTTGTCCATTCATCCAGCAAAATGGGGAGGAACTATTGTATACAATACTGTTGGCCAAGTGGTAACTGAATATGTGCACAGTATTTTCTTCCTCCCTGTCATAGAGGAGTGGGTCCCACTCTATACTCCTAGCAAATTTCTGGAAACACAAACAGTCTAAACTAGGCTACAGGTCCCTATATTGCCTTGGGGCTGTAGTTAAAGACAGTGAATGGCCTAAGATTAGCAATGGATGTCACTGGGACTTAGAGAAGACCTGCTTTTCTTTAAGCAGCTCTTGAGATCTTCCTTCTTACCAGACTCTGCAAGACATAAAGTCCATGGAGAAATAGATTTGAAACACCTGGGCCTTGGAACTTATTCTGCTTCTACCACTAACAATTGTGGCAAAGTCCAGCATTTCTTTTTTAAATTTTCTTTTTTATTTCTTATATACATGACAATAGTGGAGTGTATTACATTCATAATTATCCATTCACAGCACCATTTTTTTGTAACTCTGTATATAAAGAAAGTCCAGCATTTTAATGGATGATTCCAAGGCAGGGCCTGCCTACTGAGAAAATCTCTTGCCAATCAGTCCAAAGAATAATGTGAGACAAGCTGGTCTGCAGTTCCAACCTCAGTAAAGCTTAGTCCCCTCTGGCTGTGGCAAGCTCCAAAATAACCTTTCTTTCTCTCAACAAAATGATTTCCTGAATGCAGCTGAGCTCAGGTACAGTTAAAGCCAGAGACCCCAGGTAAATAACAGGAGGAATAAAGAAACTCCTCTTTCCCCTCTGCAGGCAACCTGCTTCCCATTGAGTGGGCTTACTTCACTGTCACTTCCACTGGATGAGGATATGTGTGTCTTGGGCCCAAACCAGAGACAGTTTCTGAAGAATAACAAAGGATAGAAGCAATTTAATAAAATTATTTATTTATTACCGAGGATTAAATCTAATTACTGATTCATGAGACAAATAAGTCTTGGGGTCTTTTGTGTGTTTAAACCCTTTGTGGAGGTCTAGAGGTTGTAGGGTATCTGTTTTATTTTTTAAATCTTTAAAAATGGAGTTTATAGGCTGAGGGGAGAACAGAGACCAAGAGGGGAACCACTGTGTGTGTGCTGAGGTACTGAGGAAGTTTATCAGAAGTGAGAAAAACTGCAGGAAAGGTGGGAGATGACAGAATCTAAAAGGAAAAAACATGGTTCAAGGTCTGAATCTTTCATTTACTGGCTGTGAGATCTTGGGAAAGTCAAATTATCTATGACACTGACATAAGGATTAAGTGAGATAAGATATATGGCCAAAGACAAGTGACAGGAAAAATGAGGTGGAGTACATTCTCACATGCAGTGTTGAGGAAAGTGACCAGTCTAGCTTTAGGGGAAGGTCCGTGTGGGAATTACAGAGAGCCAGGGCAGGATTTCATTCCTTGGCATTCCCCCAGGTTTCTCATTTACCCTGTTTTTGGTGGCTTCTGTTATCTGGGACAGGCAGAGTGAATGAGCCTGATATGTAGAGGAGGAAAGCAGTGGCTCTGGGCTACTCCCATACCCACCCATTACATTAGGGGCCAAGCCTGGGAATACATGCCCACTCCCTTCAAGACAATAGCATCTATCAAATCTTGGGTGCCAGAGGCTAATAAAGAGATCAGCAAATGACCCTTCACCTTGAGTATGGGGAAGAGAGGTGATGAGCCAAAGCATCAACTCCTCATTTTCCATGGAAGAACCCTGATGCAATCCCTCTGGGTGGTGGAAGACAGTTCAGGCCAAGGACAAGTCATCCTGGCCTCTAATAGAATGTGTTCTCTGCCCAGCCTCTTTCCCTCCTAGCCAGCTTCATCATAGCTAAGCTTTCTAGACCTTCTTTCTGGGTGGTCTTTCCTGTACCTCTCCCTCAGACACATTTAACTATTTAGTGTTTTAGTTTGCTTTGTTTGAGCTAGGGTGGAGGTCTTAGCTAAGGTCTTCAGTCTAGTCTTCAACTCCTAGGCTCAAGTGATCCTTCTGCCTCAGCTTCCCAAGTGCTGGAAGCTGCATGCCAGGTTTATATTTAACTATTTAGAAGACAGCACACAAAGCTCTGATTATGTAATTTCTTAGGGAAGATGATGGCTATGGACAAATAAAGTATACCCTGTAACTGTCCTGAAATAGAAACAGCCTCTAAATTAAGCTATGCAGGTCCCTAGATTGATCTTGGGGCTATGCTAAACACAATAGGCCTTTTCTCTATCTGGGATGCATTGAAGGGATGGGGATGCATTGAAGGACTGGGAAGTTCAGCCTCTGGCCTTCGAAAAAAATCTGGAGAGCAATAGCTGCAGTCAGTCTCCTTATAGGCTCAGGGAGCTCTTGCCAGCAGGCAGGGATGAGGTATTAAGGGGAAGAGAGTTCCTGCAGTAGTAGCCACACATTTTGTCTGTTGGCAAGTTCTCAGGACTGTTTCTCAGCACCTCTTCAGAGTACTCCCTGAGTACTGAAGGCCCCCTTGATCCTTTTTTCCTCCACTTCCTTCATCAAGCATTGCTGGGAGAGGCAGGGCAGACCCTATCAACTCTTCTACCTGCCTGGCTGGCCAGCCAGTGAACATTCAGTTGCTCCCTATATTACAGACACAACCTCTCTGTAGCTGCTACCAAAAGGAAACAAAAATCCCTGTCTGCAGCAGACTAGTAGAGCAAAAAGAAAAATCAAAGCATCCTGGAGTTGTCAGGGAATGTCAGTGTCCTGAGTTGGGGGCTGCTCCCAGCTGGGACTCAGACTCAGTGAGGCCTTCCTCTGGGAACTCTTACCTTCTCTGCTCCAGTTCCCTTATTTCCTTGGTGCAGGGACTGCTTAATGGAATTGTGCAATAGGAAGGCAGGGGAAAGGTGTTCGTCTACCTCCCTGTCAGGGGTTCAAAGGGATCAGTGGGGAAGGACAGAAAGGGGCATAGCAGGGCTCTGGGACAGTTCTTCTACCCAACTCTTCCTCCAAACCTATCCAGCTCCACCCCCTTTCTGTGATCAAGAAGTTTTCTGACCTCTTGGGCTTCCCAGACCCTAATAGTCAGAAAGATCTGAGAAAGGAGACAAAACCTGAGAATGGGAAGGGCCTTCCCATTGCACATCTCTCCTTTTACAGATGGGGAAACTCAGGGTCAAAAGAAAGGCAGTGATGTAGCTAAAATCAAAAACATTACAAAGGCCAAGTCTTCTTCCACCCAGTCCAGGACTCTGTCTTCAGCACCATCAGGGCCAACAAATTTCATTTCAGTTCCAAAAGTGACCATTTTGGGCACCACTTCAGCTCTTTATCCCGATATCTCCCTTAGTCCTACTGGTTTTAGCCACTTCTGCTAGGCCATTTCAGCTCCTGTCTGATTAGGGCAATCTTTCAGGAACCTTGTCTTAACCAGGGAGAGGAATGTGCAGCTCTGGAGCTCCCAAGAAGGCCGATGGAGGTGGAGCTCCCCCAGGGTAGGAATGCTGGTCTAGTCTCTCACAAGTTCAATGAGAAACAACACTAAGACCGGGCAAGATTACTCAAGTGAACTTGAGAGCCTTGATATTTTTTAAGTAATGTAGAAACCAGTATTTCAAACCATTCTTTATAATTACTGCCACCCACAGTGAGGACATCAAGAGAAACCTTTACTTTGATAATTCTAGGAGGTGAAATATCACCCGAGGAGCCACTTTTATCTTCCACCAAACACCTGCAGGTTGTAAAAGCGGTGCAGGGAGAGACAAGAGCAGAGTGTACTTATGTTTAGGAGCAGGACTGGCTGATGGAAGTGTGGCTTGGACTCCAGAGGGCTATGAATATAGAAATCACATTTCTTCATTATCTGAGGCAGGAATGTCTATATAATTAGGACATAAAGGAGTGCAGCTGGAGATCAGGAAGGGAGAATTTCAAACCACGATATTAGTTACAGGCTCTTCCTTACCAGGCTGAGCAGACCTCACCAATGGGAGGTGGAAAGGGATCTGGCTTGGCTCATGTCATGGATGTCCATGCTTCTGCCTCGATGACAACCACTGGGGATAGGCTAGCTGTCTAGGCAAGGTCTGCTCTCCTTCTTGCTTTAAGAGCCTCCAAGAGACAATAGTTGAGGCTGGGAGGGTTGGAGTGAATGAATGGGGGTGAGCAGGGTGGTGGCAGATGCTGGGAATCTGTGTAGCAGGTATTGAAGCAAGACAGTAAGTCCTAGGCTGATGGTCAGGGGAGGTACTGCCATCCACTAGGCCTATGGGTCTAGAAAGAGTGATTAGGGTCAGAGACTGAAGTAGTTCCATCTCTTTTTAGGTGGAAGTTGCTTTATGGACTGGGCTGGGTTGGCCAGTCAGAAAGTTGCACTAATAGGAGCTTTTTTACTGTACAGGTGCTCCCCTAGTTGATAACTTTGGTACAAGAGTTAGGCTACTGTGGCTATTCTGTTCACACACTTCCTCTAGATGGTGTTTAAACATGACCCGTGAACTCGCACTGTGAATACCTGGAGACAACATGACACAGAGCCTAGGACTGCTCCACAACTCTCCAGCATGTCTTTGGAAGCCCTTCTTTATTAGGAAATAAATATAAAGTCAAACAAATGGGCCAGCCAACATCTGGAGTTTTGGGGGCCAAAAGGAAGAAATTTGACTTGCTCAGAACTCAGATTTCCATTAGCTGGTCATTCCCCACGATCACCTCGTTCATTCGTTTAGCTACAAAAGAAAAGGAAAGGGTTTTTCTGAGAACTGGCAGCAAAAGATGTCATTTTAAATCCAATTGTTTCTAATTTTGTGTTCACAAACATTTGATTGTGGTTCTGTTCTTGAGAAGCTCTTAGAACTGCAACATGCCAAAGGGGCTATGAAAGAGATAGCATCTTCCCACACAGAAGGATGGGACTAACTATATACTTGCCTTTGGGAAGCATAAGTAGGAGACCTAGAACTGGATCTTAAAGGATGAACAAAGGTTTTTCAGGCAGTGGTCAAAGGGAAGATATTCTAGGCTGTTGGAACTGCATAGGCAAAGACATAGGAATGTGAGAATGGGGAACACAAAATACTGTGGTGTGCACAGAGGATAGGGAAAATAAGAGGAAAGAAAAGAGAAGAAATGAGGCTAAAATGATAAATGAGATACTTCGTTCTTCCATGGATGCCTGAAATTGCAAACAGCACCAAATCTTTATATGTTTTTTCCTATATATATGTGTATATACACAGGATAAAGTTTAATTTAAAAATTAGGCACAGTAAATTAACAATAAATTATTTAACAATTAACAATAAAGTGGAACTATTATAACAACATATTATAATAATAAAGGTATATGAATGTAGCTCTGTTTCAAAATATCTTATTTTACTGTATTCACCATTTTTCCTAAGATGATATGAGATGATACAATGCATACATGATAGGATGAGTGAGGTGAAAGACACAGGCATTGTGCCATAGAATTAGGCTACTTGGTAAGTACAACTTGAATACAAGCACCGAAATACCCTGAGAGTGGATTTGATAACCAAGATGGCTATTACATATGGAGGAGGCATGCAGTATTTACAACATAGATATGCTGGACAAAGGGATGATTCTCATCCTGGGTGGGATGGAGTGGGACAGCATGAGATTTCATCATGCTACTCAGAACAGAATGCAATTTAAAACTTTTTTTTCAATATTTATTTTTTAGTTGTAGTTGGACACAATACCTTTATTTATTTATCTTTATGTGGTGCTGAGGATCAAACCCAGCGCTTTGCACGTGCTAGGCGAGTGCTATACTGCTAAGCCACAACCCCAGCCCCTTAAAACTTATGAATTATTTATTTCTGTTTTCCATTTAATATTTTTGGCCTATGGTTGGTTGCAGATAACTGAAACTATGGAAAGCAAAGCTGCAGGTAAAGGGTGGCTACTGTAATACCATCTTTTGAAGAGAGCTGTTGAAAAAAGTCAGTGAGTTAGCTGGGAATGTTGGTGCAAACCTGTAATACCAGTGACTTGGGAGATTGAGGCAGGATGATCACAAGTTTGAGGCTAGTCTCAACAACTTGACAAAGCCCTGCCTCAGAATAAAAAAATTAAAAAGGCTGGGATGTGGCTTAGTAGTTAAGTGCCCCTGGGTTCAATTCCTGGTACCAAAAATAAACAAATAAATAAAATAAGTGAGTGAGTGAAAAGAAGATCAGGAGAGTAGAAGAAGGAGAATAGGAGGAGAGAGGAGAAAAGGGAAAGGATGGGGGAATGGAGACTGAAATCAAATTCCACATGCGTAAGGTTTTGTCAAAATGAACCCAACTACTAAATGTAACTATAATACTCTTAAAAACAAAACCAAAAAATTCATCAGAATACTGGGTTTGTGTACACCTTCTCTAGAAGATGTTCCTTTTAATCTTTCATAGCCATCTGCTTCCTTTAGTGATAAAGATGGGAAGGAGGCCCAGTTAGTGCTTAGATTGCTAAATTCTTTAGGGCGAGTGAGTAACTGTCAGGCTCCATATCCAAGGAAAGACTAAACAAAAAAGAACAAAGAAAATGCTTCTTTGGGCTAGGGTTGTGGCTCAGCAGCAGAGCACTTGCCTTGCCCATGTGAGGCACTGGGTTTGATCCTCGCACCACATAAAAATAAACAAAATATTGTGTCCACGTATTAAAAAAGAGAAAAAGAAAAAGCTTCTTCGACTAGTTTCCTAGGGTACCTCCCAAAGCTCCTTTTACACTTTATTCTTCTATAAGTCAGACTCATCACCTCACATACACTCACATTTAGCTCTTCCTTCATCCAGTCTTCCTATTGGCCAGGGACAATGGACTGTTGTGAAGATAGTTTCAGTCTCAATTCACACTTTTCTTGGACCTCAGTGCTTTAGACCAGAGGTGCCTGGCTGGGGCAAACAACCTTTTCTTCTCTGCCACACTCTAAGGGCCCCCCTTCCTACTCTCCCCTCTTTCCTCTGGTCTATTCTTGGCCTGGGTGTCATATAGGATCTTGCTTACTGGGATTCAGGGGAGAATGTATCTAGAATGCTGGGGTAGATGTAATTTCATAGTATAAGTTGAAGGAAACCTGCAGATCTAGTTCTGCTTGGCCAGGGTTGGAAGCAGGCTTCAGTAAATACAGTGGTAAAGCTCTAGGCTGGAATTAGGTTGAGAAAAATCCCAAAAGGAACACTAAAAGGAAGGATGGTAAATTGCGGAAAAAAATCAATGGGACAGAAAGGAATAATATATGGCAAATGAAAAGCTGCACTGTTAGGAAACTAGGAAGGATTTCTGCTAGCCAGGAAGACTTGGCTTATGTCATGTATATATCAAGACCTTGATCTACAATAAGGTCTGCTTTCATGGCTGAAGGACTGATTATATGATTAATAATGTAGTGATCCAAGTTCCATCATTGACAGAAGAGACTCAGATGAAGCATCCAATTAGTCTTCCAGGTTTTTTCTTTTTTTGGTCGGGGGGTACTTGGGATTGAACCCAGAAGTACTTTACCTCTGAGCCACATCCTCAGCCCTTTTATTTTTAGATGGCCTTACTAAGTTGCTGAGACTGGCCTTGAACTTGTGATCCTCCTGCCTCAGCCTCCCATGTTGATAGGATTATAGGCATGTGCCTCTACACTGGGCTACCTTCCAGGTTTTAACTGTTGGTTGTGGCCATCTACTGCTTGAGCTGATAGGATTTTTTGAGAGATAATCACTGAGAGTATTGTGATCGGGTGAGAAAAGCCAGAGTTGTTATAAGAAGGCCTGTGGACTGGGGAAGTAGCTCAGTGGTGGAGTATGTGCTTGGCAGGCATGAAGTTATTCAAAAGTGGGGGTGGGATTTGTTCTCCTGGTAGTGCTAAGAAGTGGCAGCAAAGCCTACATCTGGGTTATGAGAGTCACATTTTTGGTGTAAAAAATTGCTATGGATATAATGACTGTGTTAAAGAATTTGGAAAGGGGACAGTATTACCTCTTAGGATGAACACTTTTTCCTGTAATTCCTCTATATGAGGAAAATTGGGAACTTTGAAGCTCTTTGTTGGTGAGGATCTGAGTAGATAGTTTTGTCAAGGTCATCCATAGTAACAGTACTTTTTTTGGGGGGGTGGGTACTGGAGATAGAACTCAGAGGCACTGGATCACTCAGACCTATTTTTGTATTTTATTTAGAGACAGGGTCTCATTGAGTTGCTTAGCACCTCGCCATTGCTGAGACTGGCTTTGAACTTGTGATCCTCCTATCTCAGCCTCTTGAGCTGCTGGGATTACAGGCATGTGCCACTGTGCCTGGCTCCCCCTTTTTTAAAAAAATATGTTTTTTAGTTGTCAATGGACCTTATTTTATTTATTTATATATGGTGCTGAGAATTGAACTCAGGGTCTCACATATGCTAGGCAAGCGCTCTACCATGGAGCTACAACCACAGCCTGATTTCCAGTCCATTTTATATTTTATTTTGAGGGTCTTGCTGAGGCTAGTTTTGAATTTGTTTGTGATCCTTCTGCCTCTTCTTTCCTAGTCTCTGGGATTATAAGCATGTACCACTATAACCAGCGATAGTAATAGTTCTTGAGTGTTGCAACTGGCTAGGAATTTGCTTTTTTTCAATATTGAGGACTGAACCAGAAGCACTCTATTTCTGAGATACATTTAGCCCTTTTTAAAATTTTGAGATAGGGTCTCATGACTTTGCCCAGGTTGGCCTCCAATTTGCAATCCTCAAATCCTCAAATAGTTTCCCGAGTATTTGGGATCACAAGTTTTTTGGATTCTCAAGCCCAAAAGGGAGACATGTAACTTTAAAAAATGGAAGAGGAAGCCAGGTGCTGTGATGTATGCCTGCAGTCCTAGTACTCAGGAGCCTGAGGCAGGAGGATCATGTGAACATAAAAGTTTAGGACCACTCTGGGCAACTAAGCAAGACCTCATCTTTAAAATAAAAGATGGCATGTTCACTGGAGAAAAGGAAAATGAGGTGAATTCTACAGAATTTGTGGAATTTATTTCTTCAGCAACCCCACTATCTTACCCTACTTTAGGTTTAGGAATAATTCCCAAAGCAATCTGCCTTTTTTAAAATTGATTTTGAGTTTTGTCAACTTTTTGTTAAAAACATTCAGTCAGGTATGGAGGTGTAACTCTGTGGTAGAGTGCTTGCCTAGCATTTGGGAGGCCCTGAATTCTATTCCTGGCACTCTACACACACACACACACACACACACACACACACACACACAGACAGGAACAAAATCCAGCCATTTAAAGACAACTGAAATTTTTCCTGACCACCTGGTTTTTTTTTTTAAATATTTATTTTTAGTTTTAGGTGGACACAATATCTTTATTTTATTTTTATGTGGTGCTGAGAATTGAACCCAGTGCCTCATGCATGTCAGGTGAGCATGCTACCACATGAGCCACATCCCCAGCCCCCACCTGGTTTTTGTATGTCTCTGAGGTACTATCAGTCTTTCTGCAGAGCAGAGCAAGCCAACAGCAGAGTTTACAGTATTTCCTCTAATTAGTTGAGAATGGCTTTCAAGTGTTGTATTTTGCAAACTCTCTCCCATGCCAGGAATGTAGGGACTACCTCCTTTAATCAAAAACTAGGTCAGGCTGAGTATGGTACCGTGTACCTGTAATCCCAGCAATTCGGGAGTGTGAGGCAGGAGGATTGCAAGTTTGAGGCCAAACTTGGAAACTTAACCGGACTCAGTCTCAAAATAAAAATAAAGAAGGGCTGGGGATGTAGCTTATTGGTAGAGTACCACTGCCTCTAGGTTCAATCCCTAGTACCTGCCCCTCAACCCCTGCCCCAAACAACAAACAAACAAAACCCTGTACCAGGTCAGATGATGCACTCATGGACTTCAGTTGGCCAGAGCTAGGTAGTTTCGGAGTCTTTGCTGCATTACTGGCCCAGTTTCATGTCCAAAGCCATTGTAAAGTACTGGTGCTAATCTGGCCATTGGATTTATTGATATCCTTTCTTTCTTTTTTTTTAAAATATTTATTTTTTAGTTTTCGGTGGACACAATATCTTTATTTTACATTTATGTGGTGCTGAGGATCAAACCCAGTGCCTCATGCATGCTAAGCGAGCACTCCACCACTGAACACAATCCCAGCCCCTTGATATCCTTTCAATGTTTTGGTAGTACAGTCACAAACATGTATGAGCTTATTTATAAGATAAATTCTTTTTTTTTTTTTTTTTTAAGATAAATTCTTAGAAACAGAATTAAGTCAAAGTTTAACAATTTGAAAACAATGTAAATTGCTCTCCAAAGATGGCTTTTTAAATTTTTATTCCCATCTGTAGTGTATGAGCTTGTTTCCCACATCTTCTCCACTTTGTATTATCTCTGCTAGTGTTAAAAAATGGCATCAGTGGTGGTGGTAGAGAGCTTGCCTAGCATGCACAAGGTCTTGGGTTTGATCCCTAGCACTGAAAAAAAAAAAAGCAAAGAAAAGAACACATCTGTGATTGAAGCTTGGGTTTGGTTTACCTTTGGCTTCAATCCTTTGGCCACTTCCAATCAAACAGTCCTTGATGTCTGCTCCCTTCTCGATCACAGCATTGTTGCAGATGACGCTGCCCTGGATGTTGCTTCTGTAACACAACAGCCAAGTTAGAGTGCCCAGGACTCTCATCACCATCCTTACCACTGGAGGTTCAGGATCCTCCCAAAGCCAGTCCTGTTAATGGTTACATGCGTCAAGTTATCACTGGAAGACAGAATGGCTGACTAAGGGAGAACTTGGCTTTAGAGAATTCTTGAATTAGAATATACACATAATGATCTTTCTCCAAGGCCTAAAAAGAACAGATATTTTCATTTCAGTTTTTTAGAGTACCCCAGACTTTAGGGTTTAAATAGCATTCAAATTCTCTTCCCCCTTCAATCTGCAGGTAGAAGGTGAGGCTGGTTCTTGGGCTGACCTATCACTCCTGCTTCTTAGCTAAGAATATATGACAAATTTCACTTGAGATTCAAAAATCATGGATCTTCCTAGGGGATTAATTAGGAAAACAATGGATTACCCACAGCTCTCACCATTCAGGAAGAAAAAATAAAGATATATATATCTTTTTATAAAATATATATATATTGATATCCTTTCAATGTTTTGGTAGTACAGCCACAAACATATATGAGCTTATTTATAAGATAAATTCTTAGAAATGGAATTAATGGACTACCTGCCTTAATTAAAAACTAGGTCAGGCTGAGCATGGTACCGTATACCTATAAATTCCCAGCAATTGTCAAAGTTTAACAATTTGAAAATGATGTATGTATATATGTTTGTGTATGTGTGTATGGTGTGTGTGTGTGTGTGTGTGTGTGTGTGTGTGTGTATGTAGAGATCTATCTATCTTTTTTTTTTTTTTTTGGCAGTGCTGAGGGATTAACCCAGGGCATCACACATGCTAGGCTAACACTCTACCACTGAGTTACACCTCCAGTCCCAAAAAGGATATTTTAGAAACCAGCTTTCATTTCATAAAAGATTATTCCAAATCCTAAAGTACATTCTCTAGAGTAGCAGTGGTTCTTAGCATTTGAATATATTTTAAAAGCAGCTTCCTAGCTCCTGAAGATTGGTAGGTGGGAGAAAAGGTCCTTTTGAAAAATCATCACTGATGTTTACTGCATTTCTACTCTATGCCAAGGACTGCGCTAAATAAATACTCAATGTATATTAGAGTAATTTCTTTACAAATCCAGTCATTTCATCTGAAAAATCACCTGGGCTGTGTAAAAAATAACAAATGAAACCACACTCTATGTTTTGAGTTCCCATCAACCATTTTAGTAGGTTTTGGATAGGAACCTTATGTATTTAATTGGGAAAAAACCTTCCTAGATGATTCTGGGTATACCATTTTTATCTCTGATGTAGTTAAAATAGCAATCACATTTTGCACAGGAGGTAACAAATTTAGAGAAGGTAAACCATTTACCCAAAACTACATAACTGCTAAGTGACAGATTCTAATCCAAGTCTGCCTGACTCTAGGATCCAAACATTAGTCATAATGCAATACAAAGAAACTAAGAGGAGAAAAGACCCCAACTCTGAGTATCTCTGAGTCAGAAATGTGAAGAGGCAAAAATGGGCAGTTGGAGGGGAAAAGGAGTATAGGAAGGTGTAAGTACAATGTAAACAAAAATGAACCAAACCAACTAAGGAAAAATCCTTAAGAAACCCAGTGGAGGCATGGGAAATAGGAAAGAGGACATTCCAAAGACTGAAAACATTGATACACGGGCTAATAAAAAAGATCCTTCCCAAATGCCAAAACTTTTATGCAAAAAGGAATTCTAGCACTTTCTGGTATTCCAGACTCTTTTAACTTTCTAACTTGCCCAACTTCACAAAGCAATCTTGTCAGCAGTTAGGGAGGTTCCTGCTTCTTCAGGAAAATTCCCCCAAATAGGGTAATAAGGAAATAAGAAAGCCTTGGATGGAGGCTCCTGGGACAGAGCTAGCTTGCAACTAGTTACTAGTTTATCACTGAAAAGTCTCATTTCTTTTTCCAAGGTGTTAGCAGTAGTAAAAGAGCCTAAAGATGCATGTTCTGGAGCCAGACAAGAAGTAAACAGTCAGCAGGTAAGAAACAACAAACAGAAACTCAAGCAGTCATAATTAAAGACTAGTAAATAGCTATACTGAAATTTAGGGTTTAAGTGGGAATCTCTTAGCCAGGCGTGGTGGCACACACCTGTAATCCCAGCAACCTGGGAGGCTGAGACAGGAGGACTGCAAGCGGTTAAGTGCCCTGGGAGTAAATCCCCAGGACCCCCCCCCCCCCCCCCCCCAACAAAAGAGCAAAAAAAAAGGGAACCTTTTCTGGAAGGATGAGGCTAGAATGACAGGTCAGATTTCCATAGCAATGGACAGTCTGATTTTCCTTATGTTTAGCAGATCTGATTGGGGTCTTTGGGAACCTCACATATTACTTATCTCATCTAGTTTATGCATTAACTCTTCCTGAGATGTATAAACCACTGTAGAGTCTGTAATGTGATAGGGAAAAGTGGATTGGTTGATGGGAAGCTGGAGTTTCTCCTGAGACTCCAGGTCAGTGGATCTATTGGAGGCTTTGAAATGAACACCTAAGAACAGTTTACCAGGAGTGAAGCTCTTCTCTTAGTTTGCTAGTATCATTGGTGTGATCACCCAACCATTAGCCAGGCTGAGGTACTTTGGGAAAATTAACACAGCATATCTTTCCCTCTGTCCAGAAAGGAACTCTAGATCAAGGAATTTATTTTATTTTTTTTCTGGTGCTGGGGATCAAACTTAGGGCCTTACTAAACATGAGGTTGTACACTGAGCTACAATCTTAGTCCAAAGATCAAAGATTTTATTTGTGTGTGTCTGCTCATGCTAGAGGGGATGGACAGATTAGGGCTAAATCAACCAAGCCCTTTCTAAGCTGCCAATGCACAGCAAGGACTCTTCTGCTCAGTACTTAAGAGGGAAGGTGAGTTTCTATAGCACTGGTCCCAGTGTCAGAACTGTAGTTTTTGCAACTAAGTTTTAACTTTCAGCTTGGCACTAAGAACTCTGCTCTAATGCCTAGCTATATTCTCTAAGAGGTTGTCTAGTGATGACTAAGACTAATGGAGATTTGGTCCTCAATTCTCCTTAGTGGGATCATTTTTTAAAAATGTTATTTTAATACTAAGGATTGAACCCAGAGGGTGCTTTACCACTGAGCTGTATCTCAGGTCCTTTTTATTTTTTGAGATGGGGTCTTGCTAAATTGCCCAGGCTGAATTAGAACTTTCAATCTTCCTGCCTTAGCCTCTTGAGTCGCTGGGTCCTACCTGGCAGGTGGGATCAAATTTTAATTAAAACTGCAGGCCTTGGGAAGTTATCCCGAAAACTGTAATGCATTAGTGAAGAAGAGACCATGAGAAAAAACAAAAGTTTATAGCAAGATCCCTGCTAAAATAGTGGTACATACTTGTAATCCTAGAAACTCAGGCAACTGAGGCAAGATGATTGTGAGTCAGAGGTCAGCTTGGATAATTTAGTGAGACCCCTTCTAAGCAACAACAAAAAAAGATCCCTGCCTGGCCAGGCATATCACACTATACCATATTATGGCATACCACATGGAGAAACCCCAACTGGGGAAGAAAGGGAACTTCCAAATTCTCAATCCTTTTTTGGATTGAGATAAAAGATAGGACTTTTCTTCAGTTTATTCCAAGGAAAGAACTGATATACTGATATATAGTCACATATACTATATATAGTGTCTAGTACGTCTCAGGAATTGCATGTAGCACTTCATATTCATTTTGTAGCTTAGTCCTTTTAGCAAAGTTGCAGGACAGTATTTATTTATTCTTTTAGAGAAAACTGAGGCTCACGGAGGTTAAACATATATCCAAACCTATACATGGTGAGTGACTCTCCATTGTCACAGGTTCCTGCCTCAGCTGTTGACTAGGTAGTATTTGGCAAGGAGCCAGGAAAGTTCTCAGTAACTCTGATGATAAGCAGGTTGTTTTCTTCTCTGGGGGTTAGTTAGCAGATTTTCTAAACCTATTTATAATCCTGGAGGAAGAAAAGAATATGGAATTGGAGCTACATGAAACTTTTCTAGGTCACTTAGTTCTGCTTTAAAACAACTTGCCACTTTGGCCCAAAGATTATGGCTGAGTTGCCCATATCTGAAAGGTGCCTGGGAGCCTACTAACCTTAGCTCAAGGGGTCCTGGTCCAGCTGTCCCTCTAGATGAAGCATATATTGCTTTTAATGAAATATTTCAAGTACAAAGAATACCTATGTGCTTAAGAAATAAATAATACAACCTGTTGTGTTCCTCTTTGTGTTTTCCTTCCCTCCCCCAAGAGGTAATCACTACTTGTGCTGTTTATGTTCCCAAGCATTTTTACCACATATATTAGTAGACAACATATAGTATTGTTTTGCATACTTTACAATGCTATCATAATGTCAGCATTTATAGCACTGAGACTGCTATCATTCTCTATGTGTTCATCTGCAACTTGCTTTTCCCTCTTCAACATCATATTTGTGAGATTTATGCAGGCTAATTCATGCAATGAGATATAAAACTTGAAGAAATAGCTCATCTTTTCCTTGCTGCTGGTCATTTTTGCTCTTGGGTCCTTTGATCAAAATGTACTGGTTCCAGTGAGCAGGTAAAAAATTTTCTCCTTTTAGTTCTATGTACTTCCCTATACAAAGGTTTGGTGGTAAAAAATGTCATCTTCCTAAGAAATCTGAGCCCTTATATTCCTTGAGCAGAGACTAAGTAAAAGAGAGGTTTGGGGAAAATCAAAGCAAAGATGTAAGAACCTTAGGGAATTAAGTTGTGAAGTTCTCCATCTAAGATGATGGGTTTAGTGTAAATGGTTCAAAGGTAGGAAAAGAATCAAAACCCTTAGGAGCCCTTTAAATCCAGGGTACCTTCCTCATGTTAGCATAATCTAGTGTTTTCAAGAGTATAAATGAGGAAACATGGGTGGATAGTTTTTAAAAAATATATTTTTAGTTATTGATGGACCTGTATTTTTTCAGATGTTAATGAACCTTTATTTTATTCATTTATTTATACACAAA